GTAGGCAGCAAAAATATTTTATTGAAGAATAACACATGCACTTTAACAGATCTTAAGTGTACAATTCAGTTAAGTTTTATAAGGTGAACACACTTGTGTAACTACTGTCCGGATCAAGACAGAGAACATTACCAACACCCCAGAAGTTTCCCTCATCTCCTCACTGGTGTTTCCTATGATCTCATGAAAGTCTTACCGATTTGAAAATCTAATGTCTTAAAGAGTTTGTAACTTTTCTGACCTGTTTCTTTACTCTGATTCATCATGCTGCAGTTTGGTATAATTTTCTTTGATATTTGAAGTGCTTTTTTGTGTGTTTCTCTTGTTACGGTTTTTCACTTGTTATTTTTATAAATAAGACAAACTTGGCAAGTTTTAGACACTGTGGTGACATAAAAATTTAAATAATATTCTAGGACTTTTTTTTTTTAAGCTATGGATTATTGACGAAAAGAAGTGGAAACCTGGGAGAGTCGATCACACCGTTGGCTGGCCCTTGGACAGACACACTTACGGAGGCTCTTTCCTCTATCATTTAAACGAAGGTGAACCCTTGGTGGCTCTTGGATTTGTGGTAAGTTATGTGCCCATTATGAAGTTCTACTGTTAGGGTCATTGGGCCATCAGTGTTATGAAACGGAGGGTTTTGAATCTGGAGAATGTAAAATGCTTTTCATTTAAGGTTTACCTTCTAATGTTATCAGTATGTAAAGTGCTTATGGCTATTACAGACATTAGTCTACTTAAACACACATAGCTTTAGTACTTATAGCTACTACATGCCACCCACTATGATAGGTACTTCACTGAGAATTCTAAGTTTCACAAGCATTCTAAGAAATAGGTATTTTACTTGTAGGAAAACCGAAGTCCAAACAAGTTAAACAACTTTCTCAAATCCACCTATTAAATGACAGATGTAGGATTCACACCTGAACCTGACTTCATAGCCCATTTCCACTATGGCATGCTGCCACTAAAAATGAAATCAGCACTGGGTTTGAACCTATAACTTAAAAAACATAGGCATTTTTTTCCCTTTTTGGCGACTTACGCCTTTGTAGTAAATTACATTACATCTTGAACATTACAAGGAACAGAAAAATAATATGAGTGTCTACACCTTGGAATTGGTGCTTCATAGTTTAATATCATGATTAAATCTGCTTATGAACCATTATTAAATTTGACACCCAGCCAAGTGTTCAATGCATCACCTTTGTGTAGTTGTTCTAGTGACTTAACCTTTTCAAAGCAAAAAAGGCTAGGCTATTAATTTCGGCACTTTGGTAATGCCTTATAAAATGTAACCTTCAATATTTTTGGTCCTCTTTTTTTCTGAGTTTGATTATATCCTATTCATTTTTGCCTCAGTACTACATACAGCTTATTTCTAGAGTTGGTATTAATAAACGAATAATAAATACAACTTTATCTTTTATAGAAAGATAATGTGAGACACTTACCTACAAATATTTTTCTAATTTGGACTTTGATTTACAGAGCACAAAGGTTTATTAATGTGTTCCAAATTTTTAAAGTTTTACTGATTATAAACACATTTTTGTTTACTCTTTCTTTTCCAAACATTTTATTTAGTTATTTAAGTCTGGGTTACTCTACATATTTTTCCAAGTACTTTGATCGCAAGAAACTTAATGTATATGTTTTATGAAAAATATTGCTCACATTTTAGCTTGATATAATTTGAAATTAAAATGTCTAATTGTATAGTTATAACACATTTAAATATAAAAATTTTAAGGTTGGTCTAGACTATCAGAATCCATACCTGAGTCCATTTAGAGAGTTCCAGAGGTGGAAACACCATGCCAGCATTCAGCCAACGCTGGAAGGCGGGAAAAGGATTGCATACGGAGCCAGAGCTCTGAATGAAGGTGGCCTTCAGGTAACTCTCCCAACTTTTTTTATTCCTTATTCAACATTGAAAATATAATATAACATTTAGATAAATAATAGAAAATTAACTCTTGGAAAAAATTTAGGTAATTAAGAAAAGCACCTAAGTGTTTATAAAAATTGAGTCACACTGTAGTTAAAGAAATTACACCATGAATTTAGTTTTAAGAATATATTGACTTCCAGAGATTAATTCATGGGCTTTTTTTCATTAGTTTGTTTTTAACCAGAAAATTAAAACCACGTGATCTCAGATATATTTCCCTTCATTCCTTGGCTGGCAGGAAACTCAAAGGCAAACTTAGTTTTCAGCAAAGGTGATTAATTCATCCCGCTGATGGCTGTAGTTTTCCTGTTAACACCGTCCCCTGAGTCCCTTTCAGCACCATCAGCCAAACTTTTATCACTCACCACTTTCTCAATAACAGGAAACCCTGGGAGAAGAAAAAATACAGGAGGAAAGAACAATCTGTAATTGTACATTCTTCTTTCCTTTTCAAATTCTAGATTAGAGCATATTTTCCCATGCAAACAATATAATTTAGTTGCTATATTTGGGGGTATATATAGGCTTTTACTGGCTAATCCACAGAATATCACCAGCTTTTTATTACACTGTTTTTCATTAGAATTGTATATTGAGGCCCAAACAACTACCTTAAAATTTAGTTTGGAAATTCAACTTATTCTTAAATTAATTAAAATGTTATTTAAGGTGTAGGTAGTTGTGGTGATGACATGATTAGAACCTAAGTTTCCATCCCTAGATATCAAAGGAAAATTTAAAAAGTACATAAAGTTAAGATAACATCCTTTGTAAATCATGTTTTACCAAGAATACATGTAAAAGTAGATTACAATTTAGATAATAGTCATTCAGGTTTAGGGAATATTTTTAACTACGACATGGTAAGTATAAATAAAAAGTTTATTTAAATATGTTAATCCTCTCATCTGAAATCTGTCTCGTGTAGGTTAGTCATGGGGAGGGAGAAAGAAAAAGACTAGAAAAATAGCAATAGAATCCTTATTTAAGAATCCTCATTTTTAGGGGAGGGGGAAAAACTGCCCTTGCTCTGATTTTTTTCCTTCAGTATATTCATTTTCATGTATTTTTTTTTTTTTTTTAATGTTTTTCCCTAGAGCTTTAGAAGACTTTTAGAGGCTATAATTTAGAGTGGTCTGTTTTGCTTGTTTAGTTTAAGCTAACGAATGCGCTTTAAATGTTTCTTTCCTCAGTCTATACCAAAACTCACCTTTCCTGGTGGTTTACTAATTGGTTGTAGCCCTGGCTTCATGAATGTTCCCAAAATCAAAGGTACTCACACAGCAATGAAGAGTGGAGCTTTGGCAGCAGAATCTATTTTTAATCAGCTAACTAGTGAAAATCTCCAGTCGAAGATGATAGGTAAGAACTTCCTATTGAAATATAGAAAATTGTCAGGTTCTTCATTGAGAGATTAAAAAAGAAATTATTTAAACATACAGGAGATAGAAAATGAAAATAACAATTTGAAATCTCAAGGTTTTTTTATGTATATTTCAATTGACATTAAGATATATACATCTGTTCCTTTTCGCAAAGCATTAAGATGTGTGCAAACTACATGACCTACCCTTAATAATAATTACTGAGATTTTTACAGCAATTTTCTGTTTTATTCGTATTAAAAGTAGAATAGTACCAGTAGTGTCCTGCCCACTTAGAAAAGATTTCAAATTGGACAGTACTGTATTACATTACATGCATGTAACATATACATGCTAAGATACCTTACAAATGCTCAAGTATCTCCAGTCTGAAAACAAAACAGTTTCACAAACTCCAGAGTCAAGCAGCACTATTCCTTAGCAGGCTTGGCAGGCACAGGTGTATATGTGACCCTTCCACTGTGGCGGAGAACAGGTAGCACTTAGACCTCAGTAAACCCTTAGTCTAAAAAGATCCTCTAGTGATTCTCAATATTTCTCAGAGTAAAAGCTGAAGTTCCCTCACTCCTCTGACTTCTTTTTACTCTCCATTCCAGCAACACAGGCTTCGTCACTGTTCCTGAAACATGCCACACATGTTCCCTTCTCATGGTCCTTGCTCATGGCTGACTCCCTTGCTGCCTTCACGTTTGCTCAAATATCAGTCTCTCACAGCGGCTTTACATCATCTGTAACAATTTGCCATACACACACCATTCTCAACTCCCCCCCACCCCCCGCCAACACACACACACACACACTTTTTTTCTATAGTATTTTCCACCTTTGGCACACTAATTTACTTATCAGCTTTTCTCCCACCTCTTGGATGGAAAACTCCAGAACAAGAACTTTGACTCCCAAATACCTGGCACATAGTAGCAACTCAATAGATATTTAATAAGTAAGCCTTATTCCCTTAGAATCCCAGATAACAAATGTCCCTCCAGTATGCAACCTGATTATGCCTTCAAATATCTTTGTAGGACTGGAAGCCTAGGGTGCGGGAGAGGGAAGATTAAGGGAAAACAGAAAAAAAACAAGAGGGTATTTGAGGGAGAAAGGAAGAGGCAAGATGGAGCATAATGGTTGAGTAGTAACTTTTTTTCTAATTTTCTTGCCAAGTACCTTTCCTTTTTGGACCACCAGTCACACTTGCACCTTATCACCCACACATAGTGTACACATAGATAGTACTGGAACAAGTAGATCACCAAAGACCAGATTAGGGTGGGATCAAAGCCTGAAGGAAAAGGAAATAGAGCCAGAACAGGAAACAGTGACTGGAAAGAGTACAGTCACTAGTTTACAGAGTTAACTAGAACCAGTTTGTCCCATTAAATATTAAATGAATGCACCAAGTTTTAGGTATTGTAATTTCCTGTGGCCGCCACAGCAGAGTACCACAAACTGGATTAAAACAACAAATTTATTGAGTTCCATGGGCTTGCAGTTCGAAATTAAGGTGGTGGCAGGACCATACTCTCTGAAGTCTCTGTGGGTGAACCCTTTCTTGCCTCTCCCCAGCTTCTGATAGCCCCAGGCATTCCTTTGATTACAGCAGAATAACTGCAGTCTCTGCCTCCATCTTTACCTATCTTCTGCGTCTGTGTCATAAAGACACCAGTCGTTAGGTTAAGGACCCACTGTACTCCTCTGTGACCTCACATTACTGATTACATCTGCAGCAACCCTTTCAGACCATCTTAAATACTGGGGAGTTAGGACTTCAAAACACCTTTTTTTGGGGTGGTGGGGAGACACAAGTAAACCTGTTACAGGTAGAAGTGTTTCATAGACAGCATAAACTTTTAAGCTTCCTTTTCAAATTCAGCTGAATTTTTAAACAATTTTCCATGCTACCAGTATAAGAAATATAGAACAAATATAACAAAGGGTTATCTTTTTGGAAGATGCCAACATTTATACATGAACCATTCAAGTGCGATCTTGTATGACAACGTTTCTTAAAATTCCCTAAGATTCAGTCATCAGGTATTTCAGTAGTGTAATAACTTGATACAGTATTTTATACTCCTTCAGGCAATTTCACACTTCACGTTTTATGTTTTTAATAAAAGGACTCCATGTACCTGAGTACGAGGACAATTTGAAGAAATCATGGGTATGGAAAGAGCTGTACAGTGTTAGAAATATCAGACCATCCTGCCATGGAATCCTGGGGGTATACGGAGGGATGATTTACACTGGAATCTTTTACTGGATATTTAGAGGAATGGAGCCATGGACTCTAAAACATAAAGGTAATTCCAGCGTATTTAAGAGTATGAATGTTATAATCATTAACAATTCATGAATGGGATCCATTTAGTAGAGAAAGTGAACTTTTTTAAATGTTTTAAACTTGCTTTGGAGAAATGACAAATTCAGTATCTTTAATAGAACAGTGTATTATATAGTATGAAGGCTAGTCTTATTTCTTTGGTATATTTTCAAGTTTTTATAAAAATGTTTTAAAAACTACTTTAAAATTGTTTGTATTTTTATTAAAAATCTTCCTCAAAACTTTTAAAGGTTCTGACTCTGATCAGCTTAAGCCAGCCAAGGACTGCACACCTATTGAGTATCCAAAACCCGATGGACAGATCAGTTTTGACCTTTTGTCATCTGTGGCTCTGAGTGGTACTAATCATGAACATGACCAGCCGGCACATTTAACCTTAAAGGACGACAGTGTACCTGTAAATAGAAATCTGTCAATATATGATGGGCCGGAGCAGCGATTCTGCCCTGCAGGTCAGTAATGTGATTTCCATCCACTCCTGAACTACAAATATTTGCGTTAAAAGTGTTGGAAATATGCTTTCAGTGCTTCAAAAAATTTCTCCTGCCATTGCTTTGAAATTACGACTCCTATATCCAACTTCCTTTGGTTCTTACTCTAACTAGCAATGTTAAAATAGAGATGTTTTGTTAAGCCTAATTCAGATGACATTTCTCAAAAAAAGCGCCTGTGACTACCCTCAGACCAAGATAAGGATTATAGAACAGCAAAGAATAGCTTTCCATGACTTTTTAAAAATCATGTTATGGCTGCTGATACACACACATGGTGTGTGTAGATGCTAAAATGCTAGGCTATAACCACATTTGCTCAAAGAAATGCTCCCAAACTTTAAATTCATCATGTATACTGTTATCTTTTAGTGCTAAGTTTTCAACTAGAATTCTAAAATAACTTGATTTTGCAAATATTAGAATAGTGTTCAGATATGTAAAAATCAGGACATTCTGGAGAGGGATGAGAATGTAAGCTCTTTGAGCACTGGTACTTGACTTGGTCTTTATTTCTTAATCATTTCTGACATCGCACTGGGTTATGAACTCTGAGGGTAAGGACTGATCTGTCTTTTCAGCTATATACTGTTGGTGAGATTGTAAATTGGTACAGCCACTGTGGAAAACAGGTGGAGATTTCTTTAAAAAAATAAAAACAGAAGTACCATATGAGCCAGCAATTCCAATTCTGAGTATTTACCCAAAGAAAATGAAAACTCTAATTCGGAAAGATATAGGCACCCCATGTCTATGGTAGCATTATATACAACAGCCAAACTATGGAAGCTAGCTAGGTGACCATGGATAAATATATATATATATATGTGTATATATATACATATATATATACACACATATATATATAAATGTCAGAACTGTTGCCTTCCCTTGTTAGTATGACTAACTTAGCCAAATACTGCTGTATACCGTTTGCTTTTATCTCATTTATACTAACAGCAGTAGCACACAATGAGATCTTTGTAATAGTCTCTGTGAATAAACATTCGGAAAACAAACCTTCAGGGTTTCTATACCTACTGTTTCCAGGACTTCGATTCCTGTTTGAACTTCAAAAGTTAAAAAAAATTAGGTATTTCACATTATTATTTCTCCCTACAGGAGTTTATGAATTTGTACCTTTGGAACAAGGTGATGGATTTCGGTTACAGATAAATGCTCAGAACTGTGTGCATTGTAAAACGTGTGATATTAAAGACCCAAGTCAGAATATTAACTGGGTGGTACCTGAAGGTGGTGGAGGACCTGCTTACAATGGAATGTAAACTACAACTGGTTTCATTTGCAGGCAAGTTTGATAACCACTTTAAAATGTATGGTAAGCTCTAACTTTAAATTGTTAAGAAGTTAACAAGTGTCAAAATATCTTACAGCATATTATTGATCTGAATGTTCATAAATTATCAGGGAAATAGAAATTTTATACTGTGCCTAAAATTGTCCCATAAAAAATTATCAATATTTATCTTAAATAAAATTTTGTAAGTGATGTAGCATCTACATACCTCTTTAATGCTTCAAAAATTCAGGACCAGCAGCAAAATACGCTATTGGCCTTTAAAGTACATTTGACTCATCAAATTCAAAACTTCAAGTATAAAAATAAATGTACTTCCTAGACCAGAGGTTGGCATCCAGGACACTTTTCTTATAGTTTTATTGGAACGCAGCTATGCCACGCCTATGGCTACAACTGCAGAAATGAGTAGTAGTGGCTGACGACAACGGTCCACAAAGCCTAACATATTTACTCTCTGGCCCTTAGAGAAAGTATGCTGATACCTGAACATGTATGTCTGTATTATCTGTAAGTATAAAATGCCAGCACAAGCCAAACACAGTTTATAGAGAGCTACATCAAAAAACTGAGGGAAACAATATACAGACTTAAACTTTCATCTGTTTATTCAAAAAGATGTGTTTTTAGGAGTTTAAAAATAGGTTAGACACCATTATTCTTTGTAAGTAATGCAGATAGCCATGAAAAGAAAAAAGAACTTCACTGTATTTTGTAATGCTTTTATTAGGAGTGAACCCATATCAGTATTTCTGAACTTTCAACAGGGAACTATAGTGTCAAAGGAAACACACTAGGGATTATATATAATAGACAAAACTCCTTAAATTTTCTTTTTGCCTTTATACAATCAATGTATAATACTTAAGCAAAATTGAATTCCTTATTTAAGCAAACATTTTTGCATAGGCTGCCTTTTCTTTATCTTTCTGTGCCTTTATCTTTTGTTTGACTTTCAGCAGTTCGGCCTGGATAGCTGCAAAATAAATATGTAGTATTAGTTATTCCTCAAACTATCCATAAAGTTAGGTTGACCAACAAACTGATGTTTTAGTATGATAAAAAAACTCTTTCTTCTCCATAAAGTAACTGAGCCCTATTAACAGAATACTTTACTCTGAGAAAGCAATCACACAAACGCACACAAACGCAAAAATCATGAAACATAATTTTAGAAGACTCAATTGAGAATTCAAATTGAATTGTACAGATTTGCCTTCTCCATTAGAAAGGGCAGTTAAGTGCTTCCCATTTTACTTTAGCAATAAAGAAACCAAAGATATATTTTAATACTAGGTCTAGTATCACTATTTATAGTTGGTTTATTTAAAAGACAAGCTTATTTTTGTCACAGCTTCCCAAAGGTTTTGTAAAACCATACACCTATTAGCTACAATACTTAGGTTATGGCCACATTCAGTTTAAGGAATGGTCCCAAACACCGAATGTACCAAACTCTTTTAGTGCTGTTAATAGAAACCAAATCTCAAATGATACAGCAGATCAAATGGTATTCTGGAGCAGGACTAGAATGGAAGCTCTCTGAGGGCAGGGATCTTGTCACTCACTGCAGTATGATCGGTGCCTGGCCCAATGACGGGCATTCTGTAATATCTGCTGAACAAATAAATATCTAAGTGGCAAAGGGTTCAATGGTTCATAAGGATGAATTCTTAAAGGACAAAATGAATTTTCATTACAAAAACTGCCATTTACCTTTATCTTCCGGTGCTATCTCTTGAGCTTTCTTAAGATCAGCCTTTAATTGGAAAAAAAAATTAAATATTAGGTGTATGATTTATGAAGGTGGTTATGTATTTTAAAATACTGAAATTTAGAAAATTTACCAATGCTTGATCATATTCTTTTAATCCTTGCCATCCTTGAGCTCTGCGGTACAGTGCTTTGGTATTCGATGGGTCTATTTCAAGAGCCTACAAAAATTATAAAAATTAATATTTTTTCTAAATATTTAATATTAAATATATATGCTAGATTTCAATTTATTGCCTGTCAACTCCAAATCAACCCTTCACTGCTCTATAACGTAGCTAGAGCCTGTAAATCTCTCTCCTGTGCCAGCTAAGTTTTGTCAGTAGAGGGCGCAAAATGGACATGGAAGAGACATCTGTTTCTCTTCCAGGTTCCAGAGAACTCCTCTTATTAGGTTCCTGCACTGAGCTTGTCAACAGCACACAGGAACTCCCTGCAGGCAACCTCCCTAAGCACTCCAGTGAATCCCAAATGATGGTCTTTCTAAAATACATGGTTTAGTTAAGAAAAATTTTCAAACAAACTATACAAGAGGGAGAGAGTCATAATTGTTCTATTTAAGGAAGGTAATGTTGCCACCTTTCTGGCTTTAAAGAGCCAAATAAAAAATTTCTTGAGGGTATGTGTTTTTCCTTTAATTAAAATATCTAGTCTCTGTTAGGTGTTCAACATGTGCCCAACACTGTCCTAAATGTTTTATCTATGTTATATAATCTTTGTAACAATCCCAAGAGGCAAGTATTATTTCCATTTAACATATAAAAAAATCAGTATTGCCTACATTTAGGAACTTACCCAAGATCACAAAGTTAAAGAAATAGTAAGTGTATGATATTTCTAATTAAAAAAAACGATGTCTGACTCCACAACCCACATTCTTAATCATTCCTGGCTTTGTCTTCCAAAGCCTAGCACATAATAGGGGTTCAGTATGTTAAATGAATGAGCTGATAAGTGTGCTTTAAGGAAAAAGTAGTATTTTCATAGATATTAATATAAGCTAAGTAAATGGACTGAGAGGAAGAAATGAAGGTCCAAAATATTTAAAGATAAAATGACTTATAAATTATGTTTCCTTGAGTCTCATTAGGTCCTATAAGATATATAATGTATATAAAATGGCTTTTGAAGTTAGACATCAAACAGACTTACCTCCAAACAACTGTCAATTGCTCCCTGCCAATTTGACATCTTCAGTTTACAAGCACCAATATTCAGCATGCAGCTTAAAGCTACAGGTTGCAACTTCGATTTATCTGCTTTCTCAATAACAGCCTTTGAACTTTCCACATATCTGGAGAACACAGTAATGAAAGTGGCATGTAATGCTATGTAAGACTTACTCTGCTTCTTCAACTATGTCAAGTGTTATGTTGTTTGATATAAAATGCTCATCAAATGCTAGTATTAATATTCTTAATGATCACAATATTTTTATTACTTTTTCTTTAGATAACTTTTTATTTGTTCCAACTTTTTCCTACTGTGTTCAAAGAGGTGGATTTAAGAATAATCCCCAATCTAAAGATAATTACGCACTTTGTATTTTTGAAAACCAGGTCTCTGTTATGCACTTTCCAATGTAATTATGTTTAGAACCAGGTTCTCACTGTGAGGGAATGGAATGAAGGGGAAGAATCCTGTAGTTTTGGTTTTGAATTGTAATTTAATATTGTTCCTAGCTCTGTCCACTGAAAGGGGCTCAGAAACAATGAGCATACCTGACCCCCAGAATTTGTTTCCTAAATCTATTCCCCACTGAAAAGAATCAAGGCTCCTTAGAGAAAATGCTGATACCGGATCTGGAAACAAGGTTAAGTGTAAGATGAGCCTGCAGCATCTTGTGCCAGAAAGCAAGTCAAGTGATCACAAACTAAGAGGAACAAGTCAAAAGGATGTAGAAAAGAGGGCTTCCACTGGAAAAATCTGGAACCCTTTGAGCATCAAAACACACGATGGTAACAGTATAATAATAGGTTGAATTGAAAAAAAATCTACAGGTCTATAGCGATACTAAAAATGGGAGAAGAGGGGAAGCATGCTGGCTAATAACTGTAGAATGAATGATAAAATTAGTTCTGCAACCATTAATGTAATAACTGATTCAGGCAAGGATCTTTAATGATGTAAAACCATTGAATGAAAGGTTAGAAACTGGATATACACACAATCTCACAGTATCACCTTACAGAGTACTTATTTACAAAGGGGAAAAGGCACTTTCATAACAGACATCTGGCTGACACCACTTTAATCAAGTGCCAAAACTCAAAATAGGCTAAATTGACATGTGCCTTCAATATGTGACACCATAGGAAATATATACATCACCTACTTAAGTCCTCTTGTCAAATATTTAAACTAAACCTAATCCTGAAGAAGCAATCCAATACAGATGGTATTCTATGACAACCTACTTAAGACTCTACAAAATGCAAATGACTAAAAAAAACGTAAAGTTTTTTTAAGCTCTAGTAAAGATTATAGGAAACTAGAGACATAAAACAAACAATAGACTCTAGAGTAAAAAAAAATTTGAAACAATTGAGGAAATTTGACTATGGATTACATATCAGATAATATTGTATCAATGCTATTTTGGGGATGTCTTAATGGTACTGAGGTTGTGTAGAAGTATGTCCTTGTTTCTTAAGAAATACTTGCTAAAATATTTAGGGATGAAGTGTCACAGTATCTGCAACTTCCTTTCAAAATGATTCTACAAAAACAAATATAGCAAAGTTAACTAGTGAATGAGGGTCATGATACATGAGTAGTACTCTTCATGTATTATTCTTTTAACTTTTCTGTATTTTGAAATTTTTCAAAATAAGCTGGAGGCAACAAAAATACAACTATTTCAACACATTTGGATACTCTGCAAGTAGTATGCCAAAAATACAATAAACAACTCTTGAATTTTAGTTCATAATTCAATTTAGAAGTTCTTAAAAGTAATTTATTAAAAATATTACCTTAAAACTTTTGTATATTTTTTAATGGCCATCTCCCAGTTCTGAGATTTGAAAAAAGTATTTCCAATGTTTTTTAAGTCTTCTGTTATTAATAATATTTTATCTACCTGTATAAAATACAAATGTCAGATTTTAATAAGTAACATGGTTTAATGCTAAGTTCTATCATTAGAAAGACTGACACAAAAAAAAAATCTCAAAATTTTAGTGCTAAATAAATATTTTTAGTAATTTAAGTAATTAAAGTTTAATTGATCTGAAAGTACTCACATCTTTTAAGTCTATATCTGCATCCTCGGGGAAATCTGGATGACTGTCACCAGAACCATCTTTTGGGAATATTCCCCAATCATCTCCTTCCTTCAATTCTCCACATTCTGCAATAATGCACAACTGTAAAAATAATCCTAAATTGTAGAATTGCACTACCATATTAATGATATATGTTAAAAAAAAAAAGTCTAGGTTTAAAAGATATACAGCTGCAAGTCACATGCAACACTGTCCAAGTCACTTCTAAAATGATTGACATTAAGAGGCTTATCTATCTGCTCTACAAGAACGGCCTTTATATACTT